CAGACTTCTTGAGGCAACGTATGGCCTTATAGTTTGAGCCAGTTTTAATTGGGTCCTGTGGTAGGAGGTTCATCAGCTGTCCACAGGCTGTATCTCAAAGTTTTTGGTGATCTTGGATATGGGCTTGAAGGATATGGTGATCTTTAAGAACCTTCCAGATGTCTGTCTTTATGTCTCTTTATGGGACCTGGACCTATCCATGCTTATTTTCACTTCTTCAGCCGTTGAAATCTTCCTTCTGTAGGTCTGCTTTTGTTAGTCGTAAAGAATTTGTGGGAGACTCCAGCATTTCTACAGGATCACTCTGACTTAATGTAATCCTGCTCATCTGCTCAGAAAATGATAAAGAAGTTGCACTGGGCCTATCACTAGAGCTTATTAGTGGTGGGAACTGTATACGATTACAGGACCTTCTTATTTTAAACTTAATGTTGAGGAACAGAATCAGCCTACCAAATTATTATCAAGGTGCTAAAAAATACACTTGGGTAGCCTAATAATTTATCATCTGGCAGAAGTCATTATGGCAATGGTATGGAATATATCCTTTTGAAGACAAAATTTTGATGTTATTCCTAGAATATGCTCTGTAACTGGGGTTAGGAAGAGGCACACTAACTTGGTCACTTGGCAACTAATTCTATTTTGAAAGGGGGATGAAGCCTAGGTTAATCCAACTGAACTGGCGAAAGTATCTAATTTTCTCTATACATCTTACTTTAAAAACTATCTGTAGCTTCCTAGTTGACTAAGAAATTACGAATTAACAAAGAGTTTCATCTTTTTCTTTGGTATTATTTGAATAAAAGAGACAAATACAATGGCAAGAAAATGTTTCTGAGTCCAGTGAGGATTTACTATGAGTTAGAAGTTCAGAGAGCACTGTGTTAAATTTAGAGCACTTCACCCCTCCCTTGTAGCCCCATGCTGAGAGCAGCTGTGCCAATGAGAAAAGTGAAGCAAAGTGTTCCATTTCTTTTCCCAACCCCCACAGTGAGGCTCTCTCTCCTCTCCTACTGCTCCTCTTTCCTTGGCTGTCACCTGTTGCTACTTTTGCAGATCTGAGAAAAATCCAAAGGCTACTTAGAGTCAATCCACTTAAATAAGGATCAAACTCTCAGAGGAAGTAGTGGAGAAAAGTTTTTGTATGAGTTTATCTTGAGAGACTTGAGTTCATAAAAACATTCTATTATACTGAACAAAACTTAGTCAGAATTGTAGGAACTATGAAATTACATAAGTAAAAAATAAGTCTAGTTTTGTTTTGTTTGGTGATATTTCCCACCGTAGTTGGAATGGCATGAAGGATGCAATTTTTTTTTCTATTTCTGTGCTACTAATTATGACAAACTTAGCTGCTAGAAACCATGCCCATTTGTTAGCCCCAGGTCCTGTAAGTCCCAGGTCCTACTCAATGGGTTTGGCTGGGTTTTAAGCTTGGGGTCTCTCTAGGTGGCAGCTGGAAAATGATCCCACCTGGAGGCTCCAGGCAAGAGGCTGCTTCTCAGCTCATTTAGGTAGTTGGCAGAACTCAGTTCCCTGTGGTTGTAGGGCAGAGACTCTGTTTCCATGCTCTCTGCCCTGGTCCTCTCTCAGCTTCCAGAGCCACAATTACCTTGACACAGAGCCCCCTCCGTCTTCCTGAACAGCAGAGCAATGAATCCTGCTTGCTCTTGAATCTCTCCAGCTCTCCCTTCTGCTACCAGGCAGAAAAACTCTCTGTTCCTGAAGGGTTCATGAAGTCAGATTAGGCCACCAGGATTATTTCCCTCTTGCCATGTAAATGACACACTCACAAGAGTGACATACTCATGGATTCCACTTTCACTCGCAAGGGAGGGAATCGTACAAGGGCAAAGGTTATCCTTAGAATTCTACACAATACCACAGTGGCACAATGTGGCTTTGTTCACTTAATATTTAACATTGGCAGTAAAACAATAATAGCCATATCGAGAGCGCCATCAGTCATCTCAAGGGTGAATATTAATCTGCAATATTAAAACGATCACTCCTTGAAGTTGTGCCTGTCAGGTCGTCATCCTTGTGGTTGATTTGTACCTTCTTCTTCAGGGCTGGCAAGTCTAACTTTCCAGTTCTTCTTTAGTTCGTAGTTTTGTCAGTGATCACATCATTTCTACTCCATTTTTGACTTCCTAGAATCCTGCATCTTAATGTGACAATCAATTTTTGTGGGATGCTACACAATATCCTACTATCAGTGATCCGTGGATACTGATGTTTGTAGTGTGAAGCACTGAGGGAAAGTACTCACTCAAGGTCACCTACTCACTGGAGCAGCTAGGATTGGACTCAGTCTGACCCTTAAAAGGTTAACCATTGATATTTTTGTTTTACCAATTATCTATTAATATCCATTCGTGCTTTACATTCTGCACAGAATGATAACCCTTATTTTTTCTTCTGATAAACTCGTACTCATCATTCTAAAACATCTTATTCCTTGGGAAATATTTTCTGACCCAGTTTGTCTCTCTTCCCATTATATCCTGGAATATCTGACTCCTTTCTCTGGGTTGCTCCCAAATTCCTTTGTCCAGACATCTTTTATTGCGCTTAACACAATACATTCAACAAGTTAACTTGTGTTTCCATCTCCCCAGCCCAAATGTAAGCATTGTTTACAATGGAATTTAGCTTAATTAGTAAACACTAAACAAATGCTAATGAATTCCAGAAAAACATTATAAATTTAGGGTAGACCAGAGATTCTCAGCTGGGGTTGATTTAACTCCCCTTCTCCCTGAAGTTTTTGGCAGTGAGTTGAAACATTTTTGGTTGTCATAAATGAGGCAGTGAAGATGCTATTGGTATCTAGTATATAGGAGTTAGGAAACATCCTGCTGTAAACATCCTGCCATGCACAGAACTGTCCCCTTATCCACACCCAAAGCACCATCCAACTTGGAATGTTAATATTGTTATTGTTGAGAAAGTCTAGGCTACACAATACATAGAGAGTCAGACATTGGAGAGAAACAAGGAAAGTCAGAAATGTGGAATTTCTTGGTTTTCTTTAATTACAGGGGAAGCTAAGAACATATTGTTGAGCTGAGAAGAAGTAAGATCTGGTCACCCAGGTTGCCAAGGCAACAAGAATTTCATATTAGTATGATATCATAATGACAAGGAAGTTACACAGTCAGTAAAGTGGGGGTATATCTGTTCTAGTTTGCCTCACTGGAAAAAAAATGAGGATTTGGGGGAGAATTTTCTGCCTTGGACCAAAAAAAGAAAGAAAGAAGAAGAAGGCTTTTATTTATTTATTTTTAAAGGATAACTTGGGTGTGTCTTCTAGAAAGTGTCTACGTGTTGCTGACCTGTTGCTTTTTCCATTGACTCTGATCACATTAGCATAGGGCAGTGGTTCTCAGAGTGTGGTCCCTGAAACTACAGCACCAGCATCATCTAAAGTGTGTTCAAACTGCAGATTCTCAAAACCATTCCAGACCTACTGAATCAGAAACTCTGGGGGTGAATATAATAAATATGAGTATAATATAACAAAACGTCAAGGTGGTTTTGATGCATGCATGCCGGTAATAAATAATATAGTTGCTCTCAGTTTTTCTCATCTGTTCCACTAATGATGTTATAGCCTGGCATGAACTCTGGGCCAGGTAAAGTTGATTTTCCTAATTCTCTGTGAAGGATGGCGTGGGGCTGAGGCAGTGTAAGCTCATGTGTAGACTGTTTTTTCTGTGGATTCTATTGCTCTGTTCTGCAGTAATACTCTCTCCAGAACTCTGTTCTCCTTTGCACACATCAATCCATGTGATTCAGCAGTAATAGAAGAATAAAGATACTGTTAACAACCCACTCATAAAAGTGAGGAAACAGCCAACAAAGACAAAATAATTTCTTGAGGTCATGTAGCTAGTACTTTTTGAAGTAGGAATAGATTCTAGATCTGCAAAGGCTATATTTCTTATATAGAAGCTCCTTGATTTGTGAGGAGTTATATCCCAGTAAACCATTCATAAATAAAAATATTTCAGTCAATACTATTAGCATATAGTGAATATCATAGTGTAGCAACAGAGTACACAGTGTCAGTTGATTATGTGGCTAGCTGGGAGCTCTGGTTACTGTGCCGCCCAGCATCACCACAGAGGATCCAACTGCACACTGCTTCCCAGGGAGAGAAGTGGGACTTCAACCCAATATGTATTGCTTTCACCCCATCATAAAACTGAAAGCCTGTAAGTAGAACTGTCTAGGTCTGTACCGGGCAATTATCAATTTCCTTTAATACTCTTTCTAGTGTCATTCATTTTGTAATATCAGAGACACTAATGCCTAGAAAATACTGCAATATTACATAATACTGTATTAGGGCAGGGTCTACTTTCTAGGTCAGAAACATCTCGTTTTCATTTGAGAGTTTGGTAATATTAATAAGAGAATAATGTTGCTATTGGTTTTCAGAATGAGACAGAAGAGTATGGAATAGATTCAATAAGTATCTGATTGTTTATGCCTTCTACTCTTTACAGAAGTTTAGCAAGTGAATTTAGAATATGTCCTGAAAAACAATCTTTTCATTACATTTCATCTTTTTGTTAAATGTGAATACTATGAGAACTTATTCTACATTTTATTCACCAAAAGTGTTCTCTTTCCTTTTTCTTTTTTTGTAGAAATGTAGGAAATCCAAATACCTGATATAATGGGAATAAAATTAACCTGAAAAACAGATAATTGAATTATACAAATGTTAGAGGAATATATGATAAGCCTTTGGGTTACACCAATTGGCAAGAGAGAAAGGGTAAAATGTGGTGGAAGCCAGGAGGGGGAAGAGATTTCATTCTCCTAGGAGAGGATAACAAGAATTTCAAAAGTTATGCCACCAAGAGAAGTTAACAGATTCGAACTACGTTTTCTTATCTAATAAAGAGTCCAGAATAAAGTTGCCAAAAATACAAATGCAGAAGTGCATTCCATGAGATATTGTCTTTCTCAAGGTTACTACATACCAGTCACCCGAAGTTTATCTGTGCCAACCACAACTTCCTTTTCATCAACAGTAAAAAGTGGCTTTCCATCTTTGGAGTTGATCTGAAACTGCTGACTCTGGACTTCTACCATTTTAGGACCTGAAGGATCAATTAAAACAGTTTATTATAAAGTATTTACCATAGGCAATGTTGAAATCCTTATTTTTTACTATGCCATGTCATCCAGTACCAAGTAACTAAACATTTAGGATTTGCTATCAATAGTTTTATTGATTCTGTGACTAAAGTTTGTAAGTCTTAAGCTTAAATCTATAATTAAAATTAATTTGTCAAGCACATGCTAATCAATATCAAATAGATGCATGACCATTTAAAAGATATTTTTTGTTCATATTTATAACATTATAATATGATTCTTCTACTCGTAATTAAATTTGTATTCTTATTAACCAGCTGAGGGCTTTGTATTCTCAAGTGCAAGGTTTGTGAAAGACCATCTTACAATCTGCTCACTTGAGGGGACCAAGTTCACCCAGAAGACAGTCAACCTCGACTCTCTCCTTTGCCATCATTCTCAGAAGAGGGCCTGCCCTGCTACAAACACTGCCATGCAAGAACTCCCTTGCATTTTTTCCCTTCTTCTGCTCTTAGGAAATTTTTATCTTTTTCACACTCTCTTTTTTTCTGGTCCACTTTTCCTCCAACCTCAATCCCCTCACCTGGCTCTAGACCCACCAACTTCAAGCTCATTAATTTATTCCACAGATGACTAAATGGAGCCCACTTTGTGCTGGACACAGGAGACACTGTGCCCTGTGGGGTGTATTCCCTTATATTCATTTTTTTTTTTTTTACCCCTCACATGCCTACACCCAACTATGAATGAACCCTGGGCACTCATCCTTGCATGTGTGTGAGTGTGTGTGTGTGTGTGTGTGTGTATTTCCCAATTTCTGTGCTTCCAGTCTCTCCAACCCAGGTAGCAGTATGGATCCTCTCTAGAACATAGTTTTATTATTTGCTTAAGAAACTGTAAGAATCCTCCAGTTATTTTATGCCCCCTTCATATTCTTGTCTATAAAAGGTAAGTTTATTTAGAAGTATATTATATCTTATAAACTTCTTGTGTGTTCTCATGTTCTTCTTAGTATTTATAAATATTTGGGGGTAGAAATGAAGTAAATCATTTAATTTAATGTATTAATTAGTCTTAGACATGATCACCAGAGTATTTTTATATAATTTTATTAATTCCTACTTCAAAACTCTCCAGTAATAAATAAGAAATAAATGGTTTTGATAAGAGAAGTAGTTTTAATTGAAAACTCATTTCTCCCCGTCTCCTGTTTTTTAAGGAAGCCTGATAATTGTATGTATTTTTCCTCCTCTAAGACTCATGGTCAGTATTTCCCATATCTTGGTCACTGATATGTCTTACATATTTATTATATGAGGATGGATTTGTATTAAATAATAAAAACAAACTTATCTGATATGAAATCTAGGAAAGAACTGTAATAATTTACCCATTACAAGTTCACAGTTTTGGTTTTCAGAAGTTCTTATGACAATTCTAGGAAGTTTTGTTGAATGTCAGGGATTAAATTTAATTGATTAATATTTTTCTGAAATAATAATTTCTTATACATTGATAAATACCCATCAAATGAATCTAGCTGCTTATTATTTGAATAGCAAAACCATATAAACCCTTACTCAAAGAAAATGCAAGGAAGTTAATCTATTCCATTTATCTCATTTATTGCATACTTTTAAAGATCCCATGCTAAGAACTGTATAGATGAATAAGAAGTAACTCATGACCTGTAGGAGTTCCTAGGCCACTAAGGAGAAAAGCATTAAGCCTAACGTCAGGACAGTCCGGTAAGTGCTGGATACAAGCATGGGCAGTGTTTGATAAGGGCCTTGAAAGGAATGCATCCTCCATCTTCTGAGATCAGAAACGGCCTCCAGGAAAAGATGATGTCTGAGCTGACCTTGAAGGAGTGAGGAAAGGGCACTGTAGTAGGAGGAACTGCCTGAGCAAAGGCATTTGGGAAAATAAAATTTCATCTCCATTTCATTAAAGAAAATGTTGGCATCGAATGTTTAAATTTAAATGTTTTCCACTTCAGAAAAAAAATTACTGTTCTCCAGGTGATAATAAACCCATGATCACTGAGTTTGTAATTAATCTTGTACCTTTCACTACCTTTCTACCAGTTTTTATGAACTCATTGGATATTGATTAGATCTGGGCAAGTAATCATCTTTTGCAGAGAGATCTTAAGAAATAAAATTCTACCTTGTTGATAAAATATACTAGTATAATATTTTTAATGGAAAACTCTTATACAAACGAAGAAAAGTTAATGGTTTTATAATCTGATTAATTTTAGTGAAAATTCTTCCTTAACACCCCAAATGCTTCATTAGCAAACATTTTCCCCCTTGCAACATCTTTACTAAGATATCATTATTGAAAAACAAATATTAGAAAATCCTTTAAAAAAAAAGAAATGTGTATTCTGTTGCTGCAAATATGGCATTATAAAGTACCGGACAAAACTATGATAAAGTTTGCTCTCTACTTTTTTGGTGTATTATTTCATTTATTTATTTCATTATTTCATTTCACTTTATAAGTCAACATTAATGATCCTTTAAAATAACTCAATAAAGTGAAATAAAATGGAACCAGCCTTGAGAATTCTTTGAGCAGAAAAAGCCAGTTGATCCATGCAAGTGAAAAATAACTTATGCTACTTTTTGTTAATGTATCTGACAATCATAAACAAAATTTAAGTGGCCTTCCAAAAAGGGTGAAAGCTGATCACTTCTAACCATCCTCTGCCATCTGGAAACCCGCCTTGTAATAGTCCAGCATTGTATAAGGTCTAACATCTTCACTGTTGCTCTAAATACTTAAGCCAACCTGTAAGGCCAGCTTCTGAGCTTACTCTTATCACTTCCTGGTTGGACAACTGGTTTTTGTATGCACAATGCGCCTTTTAAACTTGATCTGATTTATTTTTGACACCTGTTTAGCCTGACCCAATTCTTGAGGCCAGTCCATTATATCCCTGCAATGTGAACTTGTGGACCCACATTGACTAGGCAGATGCTCCCAAGCTGTTCACAGGAATTGCCTTGGAAGAATTCCTTTTCCTTGTTCCTGACTTGCTTTGTTGAAGTTTGACCATCTGTCTTTGTTGCAAAATCTTGGCTCTGTTTCTCATTCCTGATTCTCACTCTGACTATAAATACCTCTAAAGGCCATGGCTCAGACCTGCCTCTGAAACTTTTTCCACTTTGGACCTCCTTGGATAGGTTACCTTGCCTTGTCTCATCTTTTGGAGTCCTATTCCAAGTTTAAACTCAGTTCATCCCATCATTCCTCCATTTATTTACAAATATTTATTGAATGTCTACTAAATCTATAATAGTAGCCTGAATTAAGAATAGTGGCATTAGCTGGATGGAAAAAAAGTTCAATATTTGAGTATTGTTTAATCATATTATTATATACATGAATTCCTTGCAACATTACAGAGCCATTCAAATAATGCCATGAAGATGTTTTATTAAATTGGAAAATGATGAATTTATGGGTAGCTGAAGACAGTGGTGGCTCTGCAATAATCAACTTCCCCAAAATCTTCTCCCCAAACTATAAGGAATAGCTTTCCCAGCTATAAAAATTCTACACAGACCACACCCTCAGCAGGATTTGAAGAGAAGCTGAAAAATAATGGAATCAAGGAGAAAAATGTCCAAGTGCCAGGACCACAGCTGCGGAAATTCTTGCACAATTCTGGCCCATGGGAGCCTGGGAGCACTGAGAAGCCTATGGGGAAAGCAGAGGAGCTGCATTTGTGAAGGACTTACAAGGGATGGACAAAGTAATTACAGAAATGGATGCAAAATAGAGCTGGGATAGAACTTGTGATGTCGAGTGTCCGCTAAAGGTCCAATATAAAGGCTTGTCACCATGCTCTAGCTTTGACATATGAGAGAAAACACATGACTCTTGACCTTCTGAGTTTGACTTATTTTGCTTAACATGATGGTCTTTAATTCCATCCATTTTCCTGCAAATGCCATAATTTCATTTTTCTTTTTGGCTGAATAAAACTCCTTTGTGTATTTATACCACATTTTCTTTATCCATTCATCCATTTATGGACACCTAAGCTGGTTCCATATTTGGCTATAGTGAATTGTGCTACTATAAACATGGGTATGCATGTATCACTGTAGTAAGATGACTTTAATTCATTACTGAGGAGTGATACAGCTGGATCATATGGTTGTTCCATGCCTAATCTTTTGAGGAACATCCTTACTGATTCCCATAGTGGTAGTACAGTCCCACCAACAGTGTAAAAGTGTTCCTCTCTTTTCATATCCTCTCTAGCATTTATTATTATTTGCATTCTTGATGACTGCCATTCTGACTGACCTGAAATGAAATCTCAGTGTAATTTTGCATTTTCCTAATTGCTAATGATGATGAACAATTCTTTCCCCATTTATTGGCCATTTGTATTTCTTCTTTTGAGAAACGTGTGTTCAATTCATTTGCCCATTTATTAGGTTGTTTTTGTGAAAAGTTTTTTGAGCTCTGAATACATTCTAAATATTAATCTTCTGCCAAAGAGTAGCTTGAAAAGATTTTCTCCCATTAGGTAGCTTCTCTCTTCACATTTCTAATTGTTTCCTTTAGCATACCTCTTAAACAAATGGTGTTGGGATAATTGGCCAGGGCTTCATGCATGCTAGGCAAGAGCTCTGCCACTGAGCCATATCCCAAGCCCAATAATTCCAAAGTAAGTGAAAACACATTCTGTTGGTGAGGCTGTCAAGAGACAGGCATCCTCTTACATTGCTGGTGCAGAATGCCTGCATTGCCACAAACTTCTAGAGGGAAATTTGGCAAAACCTGACAAAAGTAAGTATACACATATTATCAATCCCACTTCTAGCTACCTTAAAGGTTGCCTCTAAGAAAACAAAATACTTATGCAATGGGCATACTTTGTGGCAATATTTATAATAAAAAATATTGATACCTGCATATATGAGTGGATGATTTAACAACTATAAGATGTCTGTCAATGGAGTACTGGGCAACTATT